CGGTCATTCCTTTTATATTATATATAATTCAATTGCAAAACGACAAAGAATAATTAATTTTACCATGATCCGCCCCTGCATTTTTCTGCTTCCCCATTGTTCAAGAGCTCTGCCTGCTCCCCGGCCACCGCTATCGTTATTTGGAGTAGGTGGCATCGAAGGTTGTAGGAATAACAATGATTTGAAAACTTTGCTTCCCAATAAATATCTTTCTCTTGTTTATAACTTATAATATGTTTCATTATTATGTAACGTGAATTTTATGATTGTAGCAAATTTGAATTAAACAGTAATTCAACTTTGGTCCTTAATTGTGGGATTATCGTAAATATTATACCATGTGGTCCATATGTATGGAATAAATTCATGTTTAGCGTTATTATGTACTATGTGAAAAAAACCTGAAACTGGTCGATTTTTATTCTTAAATTGACAATTTACAGTATGAAAATAGTATCCCCCTGTTTGAATTATAAGCACCCCCTCAAAAATTTTAACTAGCAAAGGGGGTCGTGTGACACCTTGTTAGAAAGCGATTTTAGTCCTCTATTCAGCAATATAAAGTTTTTTTGAGTTTGTGCAATCATAACTGAGAAAATGGAGCTTTGCAATTAAATTATATGTTTAACTTAACCACTATTATTCACTTCTTGACAATAATCGAGGCTTTTATGAAATTCTATTACATTTTGTATGATCTCGGGGGTTATTTTGTTAATTTCTTCCATTATCCCAACTTTGATATCAGCAATATTGCCTGGTCTATTAAAATATACTTTAGAAATAATCAGGTATTTTCGTATCGGTTTTGCTAAATATTAGGGAAAAAACTGAAGATAATCAAAATTTAGTCAAATGGCCAAATAAACAATTGATGTGAATCTAGTAGGCTGCTGTCATTTAGGTATTTAAGGTTACTAGAAGACGTGAGGTTTCGAGAGAAAAATACTGAGGAAAGTATATGGCCCGGTACAAGAGAAAGATGGCACATGGAGAATCAGGAAAACGACGAGGTTAATGAGTTAAATGAAGGTTATGACATTGTAAGATTTGTGAAAAGTCAAAGACTGTCATGGCTGGGACATGTGCAGAGACAAAACGATGCAAAAATAACAAAGAAAATGTGACAATGGAAGCCCATAGGAAGGCGTAAAAAAGGAAGGCCCAGAAAGGTTGGATGACGTGGAAGACGACCTGAAAACAATGAACATAAGACAATGGAGAAGAAGGGCACAAGAGAGATCTGAATGGAAGGACATAGCCAGACAGGCAAAGACCCATCCAGGGTTATGATGCCAAAAGAAGAAGAAGAAGAAGAAGAAGTGAGTATAATATTTGTGCGCGTATTAAATTTAATTATGGCTCATTTGTCAGAGACTAAAAGAATATTATTTTAATTATGATTGGTTGTGGTAATAAAACAAGAGCTTAAAAGGGAGTTTAAATATTAATAATGAATACACTGGTCAACACATTTCGCGGTCTAGAGTTAGCACAATTGCAAAGAAGTTTCGTTATAATGAACATGTAAAAAATACTGAAAAACCAGGTAAAAATATTAAATTTATTAATGAAAAAAAATTAGATGTAAGTACTTCTAGAGATTGAGAAAAATCCGCATTAGAAAACACGAGAACTTGCCGCCGTTAGTGACGTAAGTAAATCATCTATTTTGAGAGTGTTACATAAAGAAAAATACCACAATTATAAAGTTCAGTTGGTTCAGAAGTTAAACAAATATAATCCTGATAGAAGGCAAGAATTCTATGAAATGATGATAGACAGAATGAACGCAAATTTGGAGTTCATAAACAAAATAGTTTTTTCAGATGAAGCGACGTTTCATTTAAACGGAACGGTTAACAAACAGCACTGTAGATATTGGAGAAGAGAAAATCCTCACTGGGTGTGTGAGACTCACACGCAATATCCTAAAAAAATTAACAATTGGGCTGGTATCATTAACAATAAAATTATTGGTCCTTATTTTTTTGTGTGCACAGTAGATCGTGAGGTTTATTTAGATTTTTTGATTAACGTTTTAGTGCCTATATTACGAAGATTTTTTGCTAATGGTAATCATCCAAATAAGATAGATCGACCTATTTACTACCAACAATATGGAGCTCCACCATTTTGCACTTATATATAGAAATTATTTAAACGAGGTTTTTCCCAATAGATGGATTGGAAGACGTGGGACGATCGAATGGCCGGCTAGATCCCCTGATTTGACTCCTCTCGATTACTTCTTATGGAGTTATTAAAAATCAAAAGTATATTTTATTAGACCAAACAGTATTGCTAATTGAAAAGTTAGGATAACGCAAGATATAAACAAAATATTATGTGACATTATTATCTTCATACAACCTAAAGTTTTGTGATACATTATCAAAATTGTACGTTTTAAAAATCAATTTTCTCAGTTATGATCGCACCAAACCTAAAAAACTTTATATTGCTGAACAGAGGACTAAAATCCCTTTCTAACAGGGTACCATACGACCCCCTTTGGTATTTAATATTTTCGTACTGTAAATTGTCAATTTAAGAATAAAAATCGACCTGTTTCAGGTTTTTTTCATATAGTACTTAATAACGCTAAAAATGAATTTATTCCATACATATGGACCACATGGTATAAATTAATGATGAATTTTGAAAACTGTTGACTTGTTTTGTTGTTAGATTTGTAACAAACTACTTTTTAATGTTTTAACATTAACTTTACTTTTTCTTAGGTTATTGTCTTCATACAAATTCCTAATATTAAGTGTTGGAATTGACTTGGAAATTATTCCATCTCCAAAAACTAACCCAACACGCGTTTATACATACGAGTGGTTTCAATTTCAGAGTAATTTTAGGTCCGGCTGACCTCTTTAGTCGCTCTAAGAATATCATCGTCCTCTTGGGTAGACGAGACGGTACTGCACACTAGACGTTTCACGTAGGTAGCTCAAGGTCAAATTAAACTTAATGTCATTTGTAGTACCGATACTAATCTTCAGATGTCGCTTTACTCTCTCTCTAGTTTTACTCTGCAGTTTAGGTTTAGAACACAACTAAGAAAAGTATTATAATTGTCAATCGCCAATTGTCATATTAGCGTCTATATTTTGATTTTGTTAGTGTTAGTTTGTAAATTACAAAACGAATCACCTACCTCAGTGATCTACGTTTTAAATGTTCCTGGCGGTGTTCAAATAGTATTTTGCAGATTAATAATAATCAGTTAAATATGGTTTTTCACAATAAATGTTGTATCCTACAATGTACTAATTCGTCCTTTCCAAATCCACGATGAAGACATTACACGATTTAGGAAGTGGCTTAGTGTTATAAACAATCCTAATTTAGATATGATGAATGCTAGTACAGTTTATAAAACAAAACGAATCTGCCACAGACACGTTGAAGATAAGTTTGTTTCTTCATGGAGTCATAAATTGTATAAAAATGCAATTCCTAGCTTACATTTGTATGGTGAGTCCAATAAATATTTGATATTAGAGAACAAATAACTGATTGATGAACACTTCTTTCCTTGAGTTCCGTAAAAGAACAAAATCCTATCTATCTAAAAGATCATATTATTCAGTAGAAGAGTTTCTTAACGAATAGTGTTATGTACAAGTAACAAAACAATTTGTATAAATATATATTTGAGTATCACATGCAGAAACTTGTATTAAAATGTATTAGTTCGTAAGGATTTATTATGCAATTTATTTAAATTTTGCAATACATTGTGTATTTTATTATTTTTTATTTTGTGATATTGACGATTTATGTAATTTCAGTAAATTTTAAATTGCTATTTTTCTGACTTTTTTGTAAGCTTTTTCCATAAAATTGTACAATTTTCAGTGATAATAGCATATTTTTATTCTATATTAAATTACAAAATTGTTTTACAAGTATTAAATAAATAAATAATTTACATTTTGTTTTATTTTTCCTAAATTGTATTGTGTATATTTGAAATTAAAAATGTCATGCATTTTTTTTTCAAATATACCAAATTATATTTAAAAATTTTAAACTTTATTTTAAATAAAGTTTAAAATTTTTAAATATAATTTGGTATATTTGAAAAAAAAATGCATGACATTTTTAATTTCAAATAAATTTTCCCACCAAAATAAAAATTTGAATTTCCCGCGTAATTTCTCGCTTGAATTAGTTCCGATACTAATCTTATGGAGCGCTGAATTTCATATCCAACTAAAGTATTGTCGTGGAACATCTAGGGAGGTAGGTGATCTGTGGTACTGCAGGTATTACATTTCGAAACTGTTATAATATTATGTTTAACAGGCAAACTATTACCAAATACGAATGCAGTGAGTTTCGTAAAAGCTCATCGTTCACTAATAAAATAATAGTGGTAAAAAGTTTTGTTCACTTTTTGCGCCATCTAGCGAAGAATATTCAATATCACAATATTCTCACATAACGGTTTCGTATAATAAACCGCACTGGTTTTTGATGATTGAACACTAGATGGCAGCGTTACCGAAGTAGTAGCGTATTTACAAGAACATTTAATTTTTTTTTTAATTTTACATACCTAAAGCATAAAAAATTTTAGAGAGGATAAAGAGAAACTTCTAAAAAATGATTTTATTAATTAATTAAGAATATTTATCTAATCTAATTAAGAATCTTCCCTAATATATTGGGCAAAATAAATAAAAATAAAATATTTGGCATTCTAAAAATCAAAAACAACAATAAAGATGAAACTCAATAAGTTTTATAAGAACTTCTATTTCATATCTCCTACCAAATTATTGATGTTATGTTTGATTGACATCTAAGGGATTGTATCAATTTTGCTGAGCAATTATACCTACTTACCTACCACAATTTGATTAGATACTATTCTTTTTGATTAAACTTTTTCTAGATGTTCACTGCTTATGTTAGATTATCACATCATATATTTTACATACAAACTATCTTCAGATATCGTAATTTAAGACGAAACTCACCTTTTTTCTCGTGTCTATGCTGTTGTCCATCAATAGTAAATCCAAACTCATAGGGCCTACCTTCATCACTGTCTTTTTGGCATATAATTACGTTCAAGGTGATAAGTAAACACACAAATACCTTAAACAAATAAAATAATTAATTTACACGCTGAAGATCAATATTTTTTTAAACTAGTACCTATATCGGTAGGTATGTCAAGGCCATGGGAGTATTCTCATATTGAATGGAAGATTTATAGATAGATATATTGATTTAATTTTTTATACTGTTTACTAACTTCCTAATCTATACGAAAATAATTTCCGTGCGCATATGATTAAAATATGATGTGTGAAGGGATTAGTAAAAACCATGAAGGTTGGACTGTATATTTGCCCTAGCTATGAACTTTTTGTTGAATAAACTCGAATAAATTAATTAAAACTTTAACAAATTAAAAAATGTGTACTTTACTTGAACGAACAATTTATTCTGATTTTTACAATGTTGCCGTTCAGACAATTTGCGCTAATTGGCGTGTAATTTGAAGTCCAAACATGGCCCCCACCTTGAAAGGGGTAACTTTAAAAAAATATTACATTAAAACAAAAAAAAAAATACATACATAAGGTGAAATATACATACATAAGGTGAAATAGAGTACTTAAAAATGCACTTTCACAATATTTGTCTGTTTCAACCGGAAGAGGACATATTATATTTGACACTACCCTCCGAAGCACGCCATTGGAAGTCTGCACTGACACAACCCTAGTAACGCCATCATTTTCAGGGTGAAGATCTCTTCTTGATTGGTTGACCAATTAAGAAGTGAGAAGGTGTTAGCGGATTCAAATCGGAAGGATCATTGGAAAGAGGGGAAAAAGGTCTAGAATTTAGTATTCCTTCTATTTGGACAAGAATTGTTTGAAAATCTTTATCATATCATATCTTTATCAAAAGTCAGTAAAGAATTGAAGAAAACTCTTTTCATATGTGATTTCATTGATTTCATCCCTGACTCCCAAATACCACCGAAGTAAGGAGTATAACATGGGATAAATTCCCAAGAAATTTGGTTATGATTGCATTCATCCTTAATTTTATCTTTGTTTAATTTGAAAAATTCACTTAATGCATTGAGTTCATTGAATGCACCAGAACCTGATACAAGTTCTAAGTGTAAGATATTTGCGCTGAGGCATACAAATAAACAGCAAAAGTTACACAGTTACGAACAACAGCCTTAGCAGTGTTTTTGCTATGAGTTTGCCAAAAATTTTTTCCTCATGAGGTATAATAACTGCTGAGGTCCACAATATAATGATCGAATGTAAATGTCCTTAAAGAGAAGTATGGTAACATGATGACTGAAAGAAAGACAGAATTCTTTTTATTCTGACTAAACAATAAATTTCTAAGTCAACCTCCAACACGAAGAAGACTATCATTATCGATAAAAGGATGTAAAGAAATATTGTTAGACTTAGGATGGAGAGTTCCCTTTAATGACAGTGTTTTAAGTGCAAGCTTAGAGGATTGATTTTGAACTACTTTATCTACATATCTTTCGGAATTTTGCAATTCCTTAAACGAGAGAGGACCAAACTGTCTAAGTGAATGATTAGAGCATTTTTCAATATGAATAAATCTATAGCAATATGCTAAACTGCGCTGCAAGCGGCTGAAGTTGGAAAAACGCTCAAAAGAAAGTAATTCTATAGTTGGCGATATATTCTATTTTTAACTCTATAGATCTATATAGTATTGAACAGGTTAAATTAGTGTATCAAAGGAATCCACAAAAAGAAAACTGGGACCTTCCCACCATAAGCTAGAAGAATGTAGAAGTAAAGGTTCAGGGCCTCTGGTGAGTAAATCTATTTTGTTGTACCAACATGAAACAACCACTTACTGGAATTGGTATTGGAGACAATTCCTGACACTCGATTTGCAACAAATGTTTTAAAAATGTTTGGTGGTGTATTGATCCATCCAAGAACTATAGTGGAATATGACCAAAAAAAACATATCATGAAATTGAATGGTTAATGAATCAGTAACCTTGGAGGCTAACCTAGAAAGAATAAGAGCTCCACAAAGTTCTAGCCGAGGAAGACTTATTTTCTTAAGAGGTGCAACTTTGCTTTTTGCACAAAGAAGATTGATACAAACAACTTCACAAGAATTAACACTACGAACACATATACAAGCTCCATAGGCCTGTTCTGAAGAATTAGAAAATCCGTGCAACAATCCTAATAGCTTCTCTGCATGAAATTGCGGACTATCTAAAGTTAATTTAGAAAAGAAAGTTGGCGTCTGAAGGATGACCATTCAGTATAAATGCTAATTGGTACTGACTGATCTCAATTCAACTGCTCCAACCACAATTTTTCAATTAATCGAAGATTTGTGTAATTGAAATAAGGATTGAACGTTTAGTTACCAAATTAGATTTACATGATATATAAAAGTATCTGACTCATAACAACATAGAATACCTAACGTTTTGGTTATCTCCAATGCGAAGAAAGTTAGAATTAATAAAAGATATAGAAGAAGAATTAATACTATCGATGAAGTAAGGATTATTATAAACCTATTTACGAACTAGAACATTGTCACGATCAAGAATAGTAGTTATTTAGGAGCATAAACGTGAGAGATCCGAAGAAAAATCAGATCCTGTTAGAAGATCATCTACATAGAAATCTGAAACTCTGTGGCAGATTCTATTGAAAGTTGTAGAAGACATCTAGTAGAAAGAAATAAAGCAGCTGTAGTACCATATGTAATTGTATTTAGCTGATATTTACATAAACTTACTAATTGATCAAATCACCATAAGATCTGCTGGAGGTTTTGTTGTTCAGGAGCAATGAGAACTTGTCGGTTAATTTTGACTATGTCCGAGAAACTACAAATGAATGCTGCCTGAAGCAAAGTAGTATTAAAAATAAATCGCTTTGTACATTGGGGCTAACCATTTAAACATCATTTAATGATAATCCAGTAGAAGAAGTCGTCACACCCATCACAAAGACGACATCAGGCTTAGTAGTCAAACTATCTTCCTTTAGAACTGCAAAGTGTGGAAGAAAGTAAGATATACTTAAAGCAAAAATTTATGGAGCTTTTGACATGTGCCCAAAATCCATATATTCTCGAATGAAATTTGCATAAGCTGATTTAAGAAAGGAATTGTTCTTAAATCTTCTTCCTATGCTATAAAAGCAGATTGACTGGAGGCATCTAATTTGTTCAAAGATTCTTTAGAGGAATAGAAACTATGAATCTGCCATTGGAATTTCTTTTGAATGTTAAGATGAAGTGCTGTTCGCACAGTTGTTCTTCCCATGATAATATAGGCCTTGAAGTAGAATACTCCTCTATTTCCCAAAATCGATAAAGTGCCTGTGACTCTACGTTTTGAGAAAAATTAGAATTAATATTATTCACTACTACACTACGACTACATATTTATTTAGAGCTGCTGTCAATTCAGTCACAATAATGAATATGGTAGCCAATTTAGGCTACCATGTTCATGCGTCCAATTAATATCTACCGTTTGTGACGTGAACAAGTCGGTACAGTCTGCGAAACATTTTTTGTAAGTACGAACCGCAAAGGAGAGTCATAACCAAATTTGCAAATCTGTGTTGTGTACCTATGGAGTTTAAAAGGAAGCCAAAGACAATAAACCGTGTAGAGATTTGAAAAAAGTGCAGGGGCGTGTGGTATTGGCAACATGTGTTAGTTTAAGCAGCGTATAAAAATTGCTCGGGAAATGCAATTAATTGAAGAAGGCGAATGTTCCTTATTTGTAACTCGAAACAAAAAGAGGAAAAAAAGCGCTTTAAGAACGTGCTTGGAAGATTTTGATATAGGGCGTCTTCGACGTTATATAATGGATTTTGTATAACAAAAAACAAGTACCAACTGTGAATGCATACATTTGAAAGATGGGATTTGGTTGGCGAAAAACCAGAACTAATAGAACATTATTAATGGAAAAGCCCAATATTTAACATCTTAGACTAAATTTCTTACGTAGTATGAAACGTTGTAGGAACGCAAATCGCCCAATTATATATATGGATGAAACATACGTCCATTCATCTCATACCTACCAAAAGAGCTAGTGTGATAGTTTATACAAGGACGTACAAAAACTAGTATCTAGAGGTATGCTGGAGGTAAAAGTGGTTGTGTTAAAAACGCTTATCTGTGCTACAAACCTACTATAAAAACAAGAGATTATCATGATGCATTAAACTACGACAATTACAAAAAGTGGCTTTAGGATAAGCTGATACCAAATTTGCCCCCGAAGAGCGTTCAAGTGATTGATAATGCACCATATCACAACGTACAAACCAAGAAATGTCCAACTATGTCTCCCAGAAAAGCAGAAATGCAGCAGTGGCTGACAACTCAAAATATTTCGTTTACAGATGACATATTGAAATTATGAAATTTTTTTTTTATTGAGTTAATGCCTCGACAACTATGATCATTGGCATGGTACAGTCAGGTACCTAGTGCAGTGTGTGTGTATGTGTGTGTGTGTGTAGAGTAATTGTCTTGATACTTAGAAAAGTCGACGTCATTGTATTTGCTAAGAGACGCCTATTGTATCCAAACGTCTGCGGTCCCTCTGGTGAGTACCGATCGCACAAGGATAGAAATTATTTTCATTCATTAATTTTTAATAAACGAAAATTTCTCCACCCTGATGAGATTTGAACTCACAACCTTTAGGTTTAAAGGTAGGAGCTCTTACCACTGAGCCACAGAGGGGGTTAATTATAAAATCTGAACTATACGACATTATTAAATTACACAAACCTCGATTTAAAAAGTATGAAATTGACAAAATATTTGAGGATAAAGGACATTCAGTTTTACAGTTACCCCCGCATCATCCGGTTTTGAATCCTATAGAGTTAGTATGGGCTTCTATGAAGCAATATGTCGCTGAAAAAATGTCAGTTTTAATTTTAAATTAGTGGAAAGTTTGTGTGATGAATTTTTTAACTCGTTTTCAGTTGAACATTGGAAAAAGAGGTGTGAACATGTTAAAAAAAATAGAACAAAGTATATGGCACAACAGACAGCTTTTGACACTGTGG